AACAATTTTGCGTCTCATGGAGAGTCGCGTCTGGAGAGTATGATTCGCTGAATGGGAGGACAGGTGGAAAGTGGTTGCCGGGAAGTCCGCGTTAAGCTAACAAACGAGCGAATGATGAGCGTCGATAACGAACCACCTGGGATGATTCTGCCGACCCTCTCGCTCCTCCGGTATTAAGATCGCTGACGCATCAGGCATGTGGGGTACTATTGCGCTTCCGAGTCCGGCGATCTCGACGGTTCGACACTGGACACGCAAACGCTAGGATCGGATATCGTAGGGTTCCTTCGACCCTACCAAAGAGCTTCTCCCGTAATGCGGCAGCCGAGAACATTGAGTGGAGGGGAAAAAAGAAAAAAAATAGACTGTTGGACGGACACAGTAAAACGCTGATGCGCGCGCCTCAACACCCGACTTCCCCGGCGTCTGGCGAGCTCTTGGCGAGACCCTTATCCATGTGATGTGCCGGGGTGTGGCTGAGGGTCGCAAGCCCGGCGATAGGTACTCTAGATAGCAAATTTTCCCAGAATTTCAGTCTCCAACGCACTTGCACCACGCCGCGTATACGCATGCATATATGCAGAGGCACGGCTCCACAGGAGCGTGCGAGGAATGACAGAGAGGGTGGAGCAAGCGTGGCGGGAGCGGTAGATCACATAAGTCGTAACTCGTGCTCTGCTCCCACGCGGCCGGGATGCACTACTCCGACCACGTTTAAAAGTTCTTTGGGTACTTTGCAGTAGTTGGGAACGGCCAGGCGGTATTCCAGCCAAGACACGTTCTCCCTGGTCGGCGTGTGTGACTATCGGTACGGAGCACTACGCAGCGCATATCATACGGACTCATCCTTGACAAGTTACAAAAACACTCCAACCCACTGCTGCAGCTGCACCGTCTCTCGTTGCTCTAACTCGCTGCGCGTTCGCTTCCGTCATAATGGTGCACAAAAAGTCCGCTATAGCCGGCGCCAGGGTCTGCGCGGTGCTCTTGTGCTGCAACCCCTCATCATCGCCCATGAAAATTGTGCGCTAAGGGAGCATGGCTGCTTGATTGTGCTTGGGGTTTAGCTTGCTTTGCCGCACGTCTCATTTGGTGGGCGTAGGTTTTGGTTCTGGTTGGTCTGGTACTGGTTCTTGTGCAGTTTACATGTAACAAGCATCCGTTGGCCGATCTCGTCAATTTATCGTTCGGTCCGTCCCAAATTCTGTAGACGACGGGCTCTTCGGTACCCGTCCGAGAGGAAAGACAGGTCCCCATCCCCAAACCGAAAATAAGGTTTTGTCTGTCACCACCCACTTACCATTCCCCATCCTCCACTCTCTTTCTCCAACACCGCCCCCGTCCCACCGCTCAATATCAGGCTGCGCAAGAGGGCTCGTGCTCTTGTGCAATCCTAGGTTCTAAGGCCCGCTGGTTCGCCTTATTAGGGACAATCGGGCGGGTTTGAACTCTGTTTCGATCGTCTCGTGTGCTTTGGCAAGATACCGATCGGCACCAGAAAGCGTCGTCTATGCTATCTTTAACCGCGACCCGACTACGTTATATTAACAGGCGACCTTAGCCGTCGAAGTCTAATTAATCGCCATCTAACCATCTAGGCGTGGAGGCCGATCGACGGATAGTTGAGGTCTGATATTGACCGAGGGGATCAGGGATCGCGGTCTCGTGGAGAGTTCAATCGTTGGTTTTTCTTCGACGGATATCCTTCTCGAGCCACCACCATTTCAATCGACCTCCTTCCTATATGAATTAGCGACGTCTACCCGACGTCTAGCCGGAGGACTAGGTCAGACACACGCCAAACCAATACTCTCTCCAGAAACCCTTTCTCCAACTGTTGCGAACATACGACCATCCCTACCCTCAACATCTGCTCTAATCCGCCAACTCAATTCGCTCTTCAACGATACTATACACCGTGACCGAATATTGGGTAATTTGCAGCCATGAGTTCCTCTGCGCCTGGAGATTCTGCACCTGGAGGCTCGGATAACCCTGACGGCAAGAAGAAAGGTATTGGGAAGTACGTGACGAGGGTGAAAACTATCTTAAGGAGCGACAAGAAGAGACAGTCAATCTCTGGCATCTCTGCAATCTCTGCATCTTCGGCGCTTGCGTCTCCGACCACTGCCACTGCGCCAGAACCCAGGTGAGATATCGCCTTCATTCTCTACCTCATAACGATGATTCATGTTAACTGATACCAGCAGCTCTAAACCCACGCCTACCGCTCCTCCCGCTACCACCTCCACTGCGGCCGCGCCGGCTCCAAAGACCGCGACTACTTCAAAAGCGAAGACTGGCACCACAAGGGATCCACTGAACCAAGAGAGGGCAAGGGCGCTTTTCCAGAAGTATGGGATTAACCTCGAACCCAATGAGTGGCCGTTGTCCAGCCGTGAACCAGGCGAACGCGTTGAGAAGCCGATTAGGATGAGAATTCACCGCACTTGCCATCGCTGTCAAAACACATTTGGTGTTGAGAAGACCTGCAGTCACTGTGGGCATAATCGCTGCAAGAAGTGCCCACGTTATCCTCTGAAGAAGTCAGCCAAGGGCAAGGAGAAGGATGTCACCGCCGCTGGACTTGGCCCCGAGGGCAAGACGAAGCCGAAGTACCAGCTCACCATGCCTTCAAAGACTGGTGGTCAAGACCGCGTCCGCAAGACCATCAGGCAGAGGGTGCATCGGAAATGCCACAAATGCGATGTGGAATTCCATCGTAGCGAGAAGCTGTGCGTCGGTTGCGGTCATATCCGCTGTAAGAAGTGCCCAAGAGACCCGTAAGTACAATTCACATGTTAAGGGTCGAAACATAGCTAACAATTCTATTAGTCCCAAGCTCAAGAAGTATCCTGACGGGTATCCTGGTGATGCTGAGCCTGAACCCGAACGCCCTGAGCGCACGTTTAAGAAGGTTCGAAGGAGGGTTAGGTGGTATTGTCATTCATGTCAGGGCCTATTTATGGAGGGTAGTAAAACCTGCAGCAATTGCAACCATGAGCGTTGTCCGGATTGTACTCGAGAACCGTAAGTCATTCCCCCTTTCTCAGTAAAAAAATGTTGGCTTTTGAGACTGATAACTGTGAGAAACAGACCCAAACGCATTAAGCCTCCTCCTGACCCTGAGGTCGTTAAGAGCGTGGCAGAGAAGCTTGAAGCTATGAAACTTGGGACGTACACATCGCCATCGGCAGGTTCACGTGCCTAACAGGACGCGATGGTGTGGACGAAGCTCTAGTGGACTCGCTTTTCCTCACCATGCAAAATAATCTTCACCAATCTTTTGTTCACTCTGGGTCACTCGGACCGCTTTCTCCATTAATCTTGATCTGCCTCTACATGTCTCGAGCTTTCGGTATGGATACATGACGCTATGGTTACGAAAGCATTTCGGAAGTTCATTTGCATACGGTCTTACAGTGGCCGAATACGCATCTCGCAAGCGATTGAGCGTGCACCGGAGATCATCTATTTCTTTTTACCGTTATATCGTTACTCAACTGCTACGATCTATTCCTGATTATCTTCTCTTCACTGGCTGGCATTCGGCAAAAAATCTCGCCTTTGCCCCCCTTTTTTACTCCAGCCGTCACTCATTGTATCGAACTTTTCAGGAAGGGAGATCTCGTCCATGTAGCTGCAACCCTTCAAGGTTGAGAAGTCGCGGTAGCCGTACCAGCCCGCTCAGTAACAAATTTAGCTCTACCACCTTACCTAGCTCAAGACATTCAATCAGGTGTCAATGCGTGCTCGGTCAAATCTCCAACGATTGAACAAGAAAAGGTGAGGTCCCACCCCATATTGTAGATTTTCTCCATCCCACAAAAAAGCTTTTTTGCCCCCTCCACATCGCCGACCTAACCCTGGGTCGCATAAGAGCTTACTTTGGGCTCATGTAGGCTAATGAAAGTACATTTAATATCCCAATGTAGAGTGATGTACTTCCTACATGAACTTTGGCGATTTACTTTGTTCCCGACCTTCCCACGCGGGCAAGCAACCTACCTTCCCTTTTTAGCCCCGGGGCATGCATTCTAGATCCCTCTCTTGGCAACAATGACACGGGACGCAACTGCACAAAATAACGGTCCGTCCCGGGGGTTGGTCGGTATGATAATAGTGACCGGAGGCTCCGCCTTTATCTGAGATAAACTCATCGAATACTAGATAGAGTCTAGATTTTCTTTTTTTGTGCCTTTTGTTTGTTTTTGCCCCGAATCGTGTTCGGTGTTCCCGAGCCGCCTCTTAGAAAATGCGCGTGCGCCTTTTGGAAGGGGGGGGGGCCAATTAAGTGAGAGAATTAGAGGATAATAGAGTACATGCAGCGGAACTCTCGCCAGACTATCCTTGGGAGGCCGGCTTTGGGATATTTTTGCCCACGATGCAGTCAAGTTGGGAACGCTACCCGGGGCTCTAAGAACGTTAGAAGTTATTTAAATATTCGCTGCTGCCGTGAATCCGAAAATACGAATCCGTTGTTCTGTCGGTGCCGCTTGTACAAACTTGCACACGCTCGAACCCCCTGCCGGCCTAAATAGAACTGCTGGGAGTCCAAGGATACATACATGTCCGTATGTACTTTGTGCGCGCGGAGCTTGGTTCCCCTTGCCTCAGCCAAAAGCTTCCCAGTTCTCCCCAAGAAATCCCAGAGTTGGTCCGCCACCAGTTATCCGCCACGAACAAGCCAAGCTAAAATGGAGGTTTGGAAGCGCTCTGCAAGATCAAAGTAGTTTGGGAACTATTGGGGCGCGAACTACCTCGAGAGGGCGGCAAAGGCTTCGAGTAGAATATGGACTATGTACTAGGCTTCGTGGGCTTTTGTCGTACCTTTGTTTTGTGGTGTATCTTACATGGACTATATATTACTTTAAGACTTTTCCCGGATTCCAGAGCACTAAGGATAATTAATTCAATTTAGATAAAACAAAATGGCTCGCTTACTAATGGCTTGCTGGGTGATTCATAGAACAAGATAAGGCTGATGTTTCCATTACACCGCCCAATTAGCTCAGTGGTTAGAGCGAGTGATTGCAGTTATATCTGATTATCACTAGGTCGCTTGTTCGAGTCAGGCATTGGGCTTGTCACCATCGTATTGTTTTTGATTTTTTTTTTCTTAAAGCCGCATGCGGCATCGCTGTCTCCAGACTCTCCTGTCGTGGGTTTTCTTTCATATTTTTTAGCATTCTTTAATTCTCATTCGTGGAACACTTATCAAAAAGGGCCAAGAAATGGAAATTACTGTCGATGCCTATTTGCGAAAGGAGCAAGAAGATAGGGGAGAAAAGAGGAGAGGCTAGTAAGGAGATGAGGGGGCAGTAAGTAGATCCATGAAACCAGGAATTTGAAGGAGAAAAAGCCAAGATTGAGCAAGGATCGACCGTAAGGTCTTGTAATCCGGGAGCGCCTCCATGCAAGAATTCGTGAAGGACGTTGATTCCGGCTCAAATGAAAGCAGGTATACATGATCTCCCGCCATTTGCGACTGCTTCTCTCGTTCCAACCAGTCTGCAATCACACCAACCAGTCTGTAAATCATATCAACCACACTCCAACACGGGTTACATGATAATACATTGCCTCCCACCGCAGCATCCCCTATGCCTTTCAGACTCATCGATATCCATCTTTCCCATTCCTGGGCCATTTGTGCCAGTTGAAGGGTTACCCGACGTATACGAAGACATCTCTTTGTTGTACCTACGGATCTCTCGGACTATGTTGTAAAAGGCGTTGTCGACGTTGATGCGGGATTTGGCTGATGTCTCGATGAATTTACATCCAAAGGTGCGAGCTAGCTCCTCACCCTCTGTAGTTAAAGGTGCCTCGCGTTAGCAGCTGCCCAAGGGTCAGGAGGAGAGATATAAATAACCCTGTTTGGAGACCTGGCGGTCGGCTTCTAAATCGCATTTATTTCCCACAACAATGATGGGGAAGTAATCCTTATCCTTCACCCTCAGAATTTGTTGCTGGAATGTCATGATTTCTTCAAAAGATTGCCGGGATGTGATAGAGTAGACGAGTAGGAATCCTTCGCCGGTGCGCATATACTGTTCCCTCATGGCACTGTACTCTTCTTGGCCTGCCGTATCAAGGACATCTAGTAGCGCGACTTCATCATCGATAACACACTGCTTGCGGTAGGAGTCTGATATGACAAATAGAACATGAGCCCATTGGCCTTAGAAACCTGTAGAGGAAGAATACGGACCTTCAATGGTAGGGTCATATTCGTCAACGAAATGACTTTGAATCAGTTGGATGGTGAGGCAAGATTTTCCTACGCCACCGCCGCCGACGACAACCAACTTGTACTCTCGAAGAAACTGTAGACACACGCGGCTTCAGCGATTGTGTACTGTGATAAGCAACGGCAACCTACGCAAGCCTCACCTTAGATGCCATTGCGGCAGAGTATCGCGAAATATCTGAAGACCTGTTGTGGTGGTGTCGAGTGATTAAAAGCCTAGATGAATCTTTTAGTTAGGCGTGATGTTCGGCAGATCCCAGAAATGTACAGGGGAACGCGGCTTAGAGAACAAAGCTTACTATGAGATGAGGTTTCAGGGTCCACAACTAGAAATACTTCTGTCGCGGAAGGCGAAGTCAGGAACTGTCCAGCGTTGAAGGGCGATGATTAGTATTGTGACTGAAGATTGATGCAGGTTCAATTAAGCTTCTGCGAGCGCCTTCTCTCAATGGGAAAATGGGGGATGGACGAGGGGGAAACCCTGGCGCTAGACACAAAGCCGACTGGAGGAGCACCCGCCACAGAAAATGGGGGACGACAGCCAATCAGCGCGCTCTGGGTGCAGAAGTTGGCGTGGTTCGTCAACGCCCTTGAGTGCTAAAGAATGCTGGACAAGGCGCACTCGAACGCGAAGGATCCTTGCTGTGTAGAGGGATTTCCCAGGCCTTGAGAGGCTGATTTCGAGCCAGACGAATAGGAATCCCTCGATGGAACAAAGGAACCTTCCAAATTAGACAATCAACTTAGCAGCTTGGACGATGCCTATTTGATGGAATGGTGTGGTCACGATGAAAACTCAACTTTTAAGCAACTTCCGCCAGCAGGAATTTTGCAGTTTCATCAAGGACCAACTACTCGTTTAAGTGGTTCTATTCTCTTCTCTACATACTCTCACTATCATAGACAAGGCAGTTCGAGTCTAACACTTACCCTGCCCCCGCATCGATAACGTCGTCATCCCTTTGGGTCCACAATTCAATTATATCTACGCCTCTCCATTGTCGCTGTCATCTTCTCCTTCGGCCTTTATCCGCAGACCCTGTACGCTCTTTTCTATCTCGGAAACCAAGCTTTCCATATAGTCGCCATCCTTCCCAACAAGAGTCACCGTATTCGTTTTCTTTCCCCACCGCGGGTAGCTGCCTACTTTGATCCCCTTCGACTCCACCTTTGCTGCTAATTCGGTAAGGTATGGGGCAACCACGCTCTCTCCCAATGGCGTTGAAAACAGTATCATGTGTGTGCCCCTACCATCTGGATCGGCGAGTCGTGGCAGAAGCACGGGCTTTAGGCCTTGTAATAGCTGCTCGAAAAGCTGTGGTATTCCTGGCAAAATGTGGACATTGCCGTTGATTACAACGATTGGCACCCATAGCTTATCGTCGACAAACAGGATCTGGCCCTCCTCACACCGGGTGGTGTCGATAGGTAGATGTACCATACGTAGCTTTGCTGTGAGAGAGGGTGATGGAGTGTCCCACGAGAAGTTTGGTTGGGAACGGTGGGGAACGGACAGTCTCTTCATCCTAGCGAGTGATTCTTCATGGAGTGTGAGCTCTAGGCCGAAGGCTTTGGCTATAGAAGAGTACGTTATATCGTCGTGTCTGAATAGCCCGCGGCACATTAGCATTAGGCAGACTCTCTTTGGGTGTACACCCTAGGGCATGAGTACCGACGTCGGTCCAATACCACCACTTGTCACGACGAAGTCGTAATTCTCACTCATACGCCTCGATGCCTCTATAATTTCGCTTTCATCGTCGGCGATCACTTCTATTCGTTTGAGATTTATTCCTAGGGAGAAACACCATCTGGCAAAGTACGCAGAGTTTGTGTCTACCGTCTTTGGGAATAGTACTCAGTTTCGCCAGTCGCATGACCTAGTGGTGAGCCCGTACCTTGCCGCTCAAAACTTCGTCTCCAATTATGATTGCCCCAGCTGTATGAATCTGCCTAGTCCCTCGCTCTTCCACTGTCACCAGTGATGCCATGGCGGTGTTGGCGAGTTGTGACCTGGGCACTACTATGGTAGAGTTGTGTGCGTAGTTAGGAAATGGGCGTGACAAGTGTCGAGACAGCCTGGAGAACATGAGGTCTAAGTATGTGTGTGGTGCTCATTGTGGCGTCATCCTAGCAAAAACTACTAGTTGTCTAGCTAAGCAGCACCGCAAGGCTTGGTCTTCTTGACGCCCCGCATCAGCACTACTCTGGCCACAGACAATTCTCATCAATTTAAATAAGATAACCTAAATAACTTAAGACCGCCATGGTGGGTTATTCATGCTCTAGTCTCCCCTATAACCTTACTAACACGAATTTTAACATAAGGCTTCCGAGGCTAGACTCTACACGTTCTCACAGGAAACTAAGGATAAGCTGCGCAAGTTCCGGCTAGGCACTTCCAGGGCGAGCGATCCGCAAGCAATCGTCTGTATGTCCTAATGCACCTACCGTCGGAACGCGCACCTGAGAGGATCTCCTAGCGCGTTCGACGGGCTACTGCAGGCGCAGGGCTGATGAACCCCAGACCAGATCAACAAGCAGTCGCTCGAGATTGCGCCCGCCGACGATGAGGTCTACAGCGATATGCAAGCCTTAGCAGATGATTTACCAGACCACTCTCCACGATACATTCTATTGAGTTACCCTCTGACTCTTGTACGTGCCCTTTGCTTTCTTCCATCGAGATGCTCAGCGGCCTAACGATTCGGTTTAATATACAGCCATCTGGCCGACTTTCGGTACCATACGTGCTTCTCTACTACCTGCCTGTGACATGCAACGCTGAAATGCGCATGGTATATGCTGGAGCGAAGGAGCTCATGAGAAATACGGCGGAGGTGGGAAGGGTCATCGAGATTGACTCCAAGGAAGATCTGGAAGAGATTGAAGCAAAGCTCGGCGGCGAAGCTTGACCCCGTTCGGGAGGATATTGCCACTGTTAAAGGCTTCTACTAGCAAAGCGGTAAACCAGAAATCGGAGAGGGCGTTTAGAGGAGTTTCGTACTTAAGATCGATGATTTGGTGAACCTATCCGGACTCGACACTCCATGCCTGTGTTAGAATAGCATCAACACTCTTAGTACCGAAGGTTTTCTCTGGAGAATCAGATACCCCGCCTGGAATACTCATCGAGGCAAAGGTGTTTGATCGAGAACTGGACCGAATGCAATAATCATCCACCCACCCCCTCAAGGCGATTATTATTAACTAGAGCACGATTTTTAAAATTGGAAAATTAAAAAAATTTTTGAAAGATTTTAGGTCGTGCCCGGGCTCGAACCGGGGTTGCCGGAATATTTGAAAGATAAGAATCAAAATCCGGAGTGATAACCACTGCACAAATTGGGATTAGTATTAATCACATAGTGTTCGAGTTTCTTTCGGAGACACCAACCTACACTACACAACCTTAACCGAAGAGCGCGCTTATTTATGAACAAGTAGGCGTTGATTGTTCAAATCGCAGCGGGGCCGAAGACGGTTAGCCTGAAAAAGCCAAAATTCTGAACCAAAAAATTTTTTTTCTCCAAATATCTTTCCCCAAGAGTTCCTAATGGACCTTTTCTATAATTCTAAATGCCCGGGACGATCCAGCTACTCTATATAATTTACTACGAGAAGGGAGGTGTTCAAGATAGCCTAAATTTACGCCAATATAGTTTACGATTCGGTCATTTTGTCGTTGTCTACGTGATTCGAATCTTCTGATGTAGTTGGATTCACGTTTCAATAACAGACATGCTTTACGTCTTTTTATGTAGCACGGTGGCGGCAGCCTGATGACTTGGAAAGATTAATGTATCTGCCACCACGACGTTTTCCCTCCTACCAGCAGTGAAAACTATCACCTCAGCGATATCGTCGGGGGTCAGCGGTTCACAGTGACTAGGATAGTCTCACTTGTTAGAGGGGTTAAGTCTACCATGTGGGATTACTGCATCTCCTGGGGACGCAGTTGGGCAGGATTGGGGGTCGACCACTCACGCATATACTGCATCTGCCTTCTCCTTGTCGCCATAATATCTGACTATGGAAAACTCCTTCCATAAGGGTTGTCAGTGTATATGCCCCCTTTCAGCGGGGCACTGTCCTACCGTCTCAACCTGCCCGGGGTCTATCTCAATGACCCGAATCCGGGTGGCAACCAACTCCCGGCGAAGCGCATCCGTAAAGGTCCTTACTGCAGTCTTCGTAGCGCAATATATGCTACCACCGGCATATGGTTCCCGCGCGGCAACGCTTCCAATATTGATAATGTCGCCTCGCCCTCCCTCGTCCCGTCTCTTGAAGATGGGGAGGATGGCTTGCGTCATATTTATCAATCCAGTGACATTCGTTGCGAACATGATATTAATATCTTCCTCAGCAATCTCTGGGGCTTTCGCAAGACCCTTCACAAGACCGCTAAGATAGAAGCACGGATTAGCCCTCCCAAATTATAAGATTCGGTTTGGTATATATCCTGTATGGATACAAACAAAATATGATTCTAGCTAATACTTACGCGTTGTTTACCAAAATATCAATATCCCTAAATTCCACTGGCAAGGCGTTCACAAATCCTCTCACTTCCTCGGAGCTGCTAACATCTAGTTTAAATGGCAAGACCTTGACCCCATCACCAACCTCCTTCTCAATGTCCTTGGCCACCTGTTTCAATATTTCAATTCTGCGAGCCGCCAGGACTAACTTAAGATTCTTCGGAGAAGTCCTCGCAAATTCCATCGCCGTACTCCGCCCAATGCCGGACGATGCACCTGTGACAACGATGGTCTTGCCTTCGAGGCGCTTTCCCATTGCTGAAGACATTGTACGGAGGGAGTTGGTGGGTAATAGTGAAAGGTTGGTAAAGGTTCGAAAGGGATGGATTAGAGCACGGAGAGAGCTCATGCGGGAATGATGTGGCTTATTTATACTAATTTGGTTTCGGAGTTGGGATATGTACCGGGGGCACGCAGTTATCGCCGGTGATGATCCGGCTGTTTGCAAGCCGCTCAGCCTGCAATGGAAATTATGAACTGCACGTGATACTGGTCCTTGTTTCCTCTGGAGGGAGTGATTGTGTCGTGTCCTGGGAAAAAAGAATATGAACGCGGGGTGGCCTACCAGTCTATGTTTGCTTGGGTATATAAACTGTGAACTGGTTACACATATATAAAGTACTAGATCTGGCGCCGTTTTTGAAGGCTCTTCCACTCACCATAGCGGAGCACAGGGCACTAACATCGAGATAGGAGGTTTCCGTGTTAAATCGTTGTCCCCAGTGATTTCGCAACATTCGATAGGCTCTTGATGGCCATATGAATCGACTCATCCCCCTCTACAGGAAAATAGCAATCTAGAAGGCTATTTGTCCTCAGGGCCGCTAGAAGCGGGAGGTCTAACTCCATTAAGGTTCGGGTAGTTTCAGCGGCTTGGATAGCTATTAGACTTTGCCGTTATGCATGGCCTTGTTGCTCCCAAGAAAGCTAGTGGGCATATTCCTTACACTCTCCAAATTGTTCGTAACAGTAAGCCCTCATCGTCTCCATCAACCAAGCTATCAAGGAAATTTGCTAAACCCTCTCTCTCAGGATCTACGGCTATCTAGAAACTAATTGTAGCCAGGATACCACACAGGTCAACATGTTACCGGCATCATAAAGTCGCGCATGCTGGAGAGCGATCCTGATAGTCAAGGGTGTCCATCCGAGAACCACCGTCGCATCATTGCGCATATGTTCAGGAGGGGCCCCCGTAGCTATGGACACCGATTGGTAGGAGTAAGGACGAAAAGAGGAAAGAGGAAGGGGATAAAAAGACAAGCAGGACCGCGTGGACTGAATTTACTCGGATCACTCATAGGATCTGCGCGATCAAATGTGAACATCCTGATGGACTATTAATGCATGCCCGGAGGAGAACGGCAGGTACAAAGTGTAGCAGCGGTGGCGGGAATTGAAGCTGGCTTCCAGTTGAAAGGAAGTTTCGGGCCGTCGCTCTTTAGCCAGTCCTCCTCGATGGCCCTACTATCTAGGCTAGTTCAATCACAATTTCCGTCATCTGGCGAGTCTTCTTATCGGTCCCCACGGTTGTCCGGGTGGCAATCCCAAAGGATCTGCTTATTGAAGTCGAACTTCCAAACTCCGGACTGCCAATGGCTAAGCATTCTTCTAAATCCTCACACCCTTTTCCTCTCTTCTCTCTTATCCTGGCGGTATTTCTTAATGGTCTTTGCGCTCTTGACGCATGCGACGGACTTTGGTTGGCATGGCTATCGGTCGGTGATGTAGGCTACTCTTAAGTGTAGTGGTAGTCTCGTCTGATCCGGAGTGGGGACTCTGGTGCTAACCCGGCCTACCTGAAGATAATACTCTAGCCGCCAATCTGGCTAGCTGGTGCTCCTCAATTCGCTACCCAGCTCGGTAAAGGAAATTGGAGGCGTGTCTCTATGTCCGACTTGTCGGGAGACAAGGCCTGTGAGCCGGGAAGTAAATGTATCCCCCAATGCCTTTTGGACCACTTCGAATCACAACGTTGGCACCATACACTTCCGGGGGACCCCATAACCGCAACCTAACTTAAGTTGAATGCTTAGGAGGGACCCTATACAGAACAGCGGGAGTTTCTATTCTCCAGGTTGATCAAGTGCAGAGGGTGACGGGGATGTCAGGCCACTAATGGCTTCGGCGTACCCTCCTTTCCAGACAGGCACATCGTATGCGAAAAAGGGAAGCAGAACGGCGATAATGACAGTAATTCAGCGGACGAGAATGGTAGTAGGGCTAACGGTGGAGAGTAGTAGCGGACTGGAAATGGATAGCTTCAGGGGGAATCTAATTGTTCAATAAGGAGCGCTGTTTTCTCTATTTTTGATTTTAGACTTTTAACGCAGAACCATGAACATGTACTAAGCAGGGGGTGAAGAAACAAAGGTTCTTGGGTATCCTAGGTAAATTTAGGGTGTTGATGTGATCCTCCTAAACGGGTAACCGCATAACTGAATGCTTCACAGGTATATAGTTGCAGTCAAGAATGCCACCCTATTTATTTGAATCTAGGAGTCGAATATAGCTATTGGTAACAAACAGGATACAGCGGTTTCCGAATCAACAATGAACATACGTTTCCAGTCTGCTGAACAGAAACCTGCCCGAAGCTGGCGCCTTGGGTCTCCATGGCATCATAAAAATTTGCAACCAAATGACAAGATCGCTGAAAGCGACTTGAAGGGGTAGAAAACCGCCAGTAGGTAATGCTAAACCCTTTGATGTGGATGTAGTGCTTCGAGGCCGTAAAATGACTAATCTACATGGCATTCCAATCAATGGTGACCCGCCGCTGCTTTGTTACCCTGGCACCTGCTTCGTCGGCATTCTTTCTTTTTGCGGGGCTAATCTGGTGCGGTCCGGTTAAGTCAATGATTTCAGCATGAGGTGTGTTCACCACCGAGGACTCAACCGTCGTCACTTCCGTCAGATCTAGTGATGGTACACTGAGATCCTCCTGGAATTCTCGGTATAGATTCTCGAAGGTGCGGCGCATGTCCTCGCAGTACTCCCGAGCGTGCTCATCTTCCAAGTGATGGTCGGTGCAACCAGGACACACAACATAGTAAGCCTGTTCAACTGGCGGAAAACCTAGGAGTTCGTACTCGATCAGAGAATCTCCGATCAATGTTGTCTTGTCCCATTCGATGCAGTCTTCGCAATACCCACGTTCGCACCAACGACAACGGAGTATCATGCCACCAGCGTTTGAGGTTTTCTGCTCGCAGTCATAGCACTGATGTTGCGGACAGTAGAAGATGGACAACTTGTTTGACCTGGCGGCCATTTCAAAGGTTTCGTCCAGACACTCGAAGTGGTATGAACGGGGACATCCACTGCAACAGATGATCTCGCCACCATCCATGCAGACCTGGCAGTACTGCGATAAAATTAGTGAAAGCTAGATAAGGGTGACATAGTACCTATAGTGGCAGAACTTACATCCTGGTTTTCAATGGCGGCTTTCTTAGGACGCTTGACATCGGCTAGTCGAGGGTCTCTGCCTGCAAGCGTTGGGACCGCCTCCCAATCCTTGCATGACATGCTCTCCTTACTGACCGCAAAACCGTCAACCATGACAGTCGTATTCTTGCCCTTTCTTCGCTCCTGTCGGTCCCACTCTTGCTGAATGCTCTCCTGTGGCTGACCTTTCTGATACCTCTTTCCATTGAACACATACGATTCTACTTTTTCCATCTCTGTGAGCCATTTCCTCTCTTCTTCTTCACCAACTTCTAGGTTTCCTGTTGCCTGTTCGGAGTCAATGCTGCCCGCTGGATTGTCTTTGCACTTCTCTAGAATTGTTGGCCAGTC